TTCTTCTATTATATGCTTCATATTTCCGCATTTATTTTATCCTTATCTATATTTGTATATGTATATTTGTATTTCAAGATATTGTCAGTGATTTCATCAATTTCTTTCTTTACTATCTTTGGATTTATGATTTATTTGTAACGAATATTGAAGCTTGTGACTTGATATACTCCAATAAGTCATAAGAATGATCGTTGTTGCATAAAAAAAAAACAAAAACGTTAACAATGCTTGCATAATACATTTATATAACTGAGATAATACAAAATAGTTTCACTTCAACGCAGATTTTCACTTTCGCGTTTTTCTAATACAATCACAGATATTTATACCTAATAGAATAAACATCAATGAAGTACAGAGTTTTGAACGTACAACGTCGTGCAGCTTGCTAGATGTAGAAGATAAATTGTATCTCTACAAGAATAGTAGTCGTAATAATAGTATAGTTGTAATAAAGACGCATATATACAAATGATCTCCCTGAATTTTTAGACATTTCTTGCATCAATATATAATCTCCCTGAATTTTTGCGTATTATTTTTATAGTAGTCTTGCGTATTATTTTTATCAGTAGTCTTCCAGTAGCTCGTTTATTTTATCGATTGCTGGTTTACAAAATTCTGTGGTCCCTAAGATACTCTCATATACAATTCGCTTATAACACACGAATCAACACGCTCGCTTATAGCACACTCAAATTTTTCCCCCAGATATGTACCTCACTCTTGTCATTATGTTTGTCACAACCTTTCTGGTACGAGTGGCGAAAGCGCATCATAATCTGCGCACTAATAATATAATTAACAGCCGAAATTATCGGCTACATATTTCTATTTGATAGATAGTAATTTTTTTTTCATGTTTCTAATTTTCTCTTAACTTCCCTCGAATTTCTAACGTGACTGAACATGATCATGTTATGCCCAACTTATTAAGTACCAAAAAGGTCACATCTTAACGAACGAAATCATCATACGAAACATCTTAACATATACGTCAAGTTTATTTGCAGTTATGTGCAACCACGATAATTACAATTGGACTTATAATTAACTTACTAAAATAAGTATCTAAATATAATAATTTATAAAAATAACTTAAAAACAAATTACTCGTCTGTCTCGTAAGCGGGTGACGCTGGTGAGTACGTGGGACTCGTGGGCGAGTATCCCGGTACGGGCGGCGAGTACGTTGGACTCGTCGGAGAATAACTCGGGCTTGTGGGTGTGTACGTGGGACTCGTGGGCGAATATTTGGTGCTTGACGGCGAGTACTGCGGACTTGTGGGCGAGTACGTCGGGCTGGTAGGTGAATAATTCGGACTGCTGGGTGAATATCGGGTGCTGCCAGATGCAGTGTGCTGCGGCGAACTCGGCGAGTACGATGGACTTGTAGGCGAATATGTCGGGCTGGTCGGCGAGTACGTGGGACTTGCAGGCGTGTATTGCGGCGATGTACCGGCGAATGATGGCGAGGTAGGAGAATAACTTGGGCTCGTCGGTGAATATTTGGGACTGCTGGGAGAGTAGCTTGGACTCGCAGGCGAATATTGCGGCGAGCTTGGCGAATAACTGGGCGAAGTCGGCGAATATGAGGGTGAAGCAGGTGTGTAGTTAGGCGAGCTTGGTGAATAGCTTGGTGAAGTTGGTGAGTAACTCGGGCTCGTGGGTGAATAGCTTGGACTTGTGGGCGAGTAACTTGGACTGGTCGGGGAATAACTCGGCGAGGTTGGCGAGTAACTCGGACTTGTCGGTGAATAACTCGGCGAAGTTGGCGAGTAGCTCGGCGATGTGGGTGAATAGCTCGGGCTAGTTGGCGAATAGCTCGGTGAGGTAGGCGAGTAACTTGGACTCGTCGGTGAATAACTCGGAGAAGTGGGCGAGTAACTTGGACTTGTCGGCGAATAACTCGGCGAAGTGGGCGAATAGCTCGGACTTGTCGGCGAATAGCTTGGTGATGTCGGTGAATAATTCGGGCTGGTTGGCGAATACGTAGGACTTGTGGGCGAATAATTTGGACTCGAGGGTGTCATGCTAGGCGATGTGGGCAGATACGCCGGTGATGTCGGAGAGTAACTAGGTGACGCTGCACCAGCTGGTGACATCGGGAATGGACTCATACTCGGACCCGGACTACCGGGACTTCCCGGTTGCGGTGAATAAGCCGAGTATGCTGGCGACAAGCCCGATGCATCTGATGCTCCCGACGGTGAAAAGCATGCACCACCTGGCGTCATACCGCTGCTCAATGCTACAAAACAAAAAGAGAATAATTGTTAATATTGTTCAAGGTGCATTTAGAAACTAAAAAACATTTTTATTATTTTGTTTTGAAATTATATACTATACGAGACTTACCTGGCGACATACTTGATGCACCATAACCAGGAGTAGCTCCCATCCAAGGAGTCATCTGAGGACTCATGCTGGACATGCCAGTTACGCTGCCAAAGAACATTCCTGCCGTTCCCATCATTCCTGCGCCAACTGCCATAGGAATCTCGATACCAGATTTACATTTCTCAGCATCCAATAATAGATCAAAGCATCCTAAACACACATATGAAATCATTGACATTGTATCACTATTATATATAGCAAATAAGTCATTTGATAAAATGCTGATCATAATCAAAGAGTCCTAATGTCTTTCTTACATTTCTTTACACAAGACAAATTTGCGAATAGAAGTTAGAAGTTATGCAAGTCGCATAATGTTTCTTATACTATAAAAGAATTATGTACACGCGCATTACCTGTTCCAATCCGAGGAAGTTGTCCCATTATAATATTCTCGGATACCCCTCTCATTGGATCTACCTCTGCGTGAGATGCGGCATCCAGTAGTACATCAACCGTTTCTTCGAAGGAACACCTAAAGAAATTCGATGTCTTACTAACTTTCGATCTATTATCTTCTATCATTGCGTAACATATATCTGTTCCTTAGAGGTAAAAAGTCGTATCTCCAAGTTTTGTTATAATTCAAGTTAGGTAATACTTTTTTTGAATATACCAGGAGTTTAAATTGTATAAAGGTAAAAGGTCTTATATATCTATTATTACTAGTTTTTAAGATACAATGTTTAGAAAATGTCGCGTTGGAAATTTTCTAAAAATTAACAAACTTTGAATCCTATTTTCTCTAAATTTCTAAAAATAGAGAAACAATTCTTTATTTTTAAGGTATAGATATACATCTTTCAAAGATCCCGATGAAAAACGAAACTCGTTTACTGACCTCATCAAAGCGCCGGTATCTTGTCTATTGATTCCGTGACGTGTTATCGCCATGAGATGACCTTTCGCTGTCATGACGTCGCAAAGTAAAGCGAGATGTCGGTAGTTCACGTAAAGACCATAGAACTGCAACACTGCGTTCATCTCCTTCTCTACCGACTTTCGCACGGCTTCGATGCCGAGCACTTGGAATATCTCGCAAATATCATTACTGAACGTTCGCACCGGATCCACGTCTCTCTCGCTCAACACCTTCATCAAGCTCGTCCCGTCGGTTTCCAAAAGCCATTCCGCAATGGCCTTGAATTCGCCGGTTTCCGTGATAACGATGCGTTTCTTGGAATCCGTTTGCGGCAGATGCATGTAAACTTTGCCGATAGCTTCAATACCCTGAAATATTCAATAGAAAACGTAAAAACAATTTTCTCAATATTACAGTAAACTAATTAACAACAGTAACTGAACAAAGATGCGAAAGACTAATTAGCGTTTACTTCAGTATACCTGCAGAGTCATGTCGCTGAGCATGTTGGCTTCGATACACCGAAGGAACATATCGTCTTCCATCTTATCTACAGTCTCCTCATCCGTGTCCTGGAACTTGTTATCGTCGCTGTTCATTATTCTAATACGTAGCACCAACTTCTCGGCATTGTCATCATTGAATATGCAGTTCAGATCGTCGCCAAAGCCGGCATTGATCTTCTCTGCGATCTGCTCCATCGTCAGCTTCTTGTCAGTCATCCGCTTTCTATCCAGTTCAATTCGCAGCAACCACGGCGATATTTTCGTGGGGTCAAAGTCGGGCATCTCGTAGTAAACGTTGACAAACTCCTGGTCCTCCGCGATTACAGTGTTCTGCGGATCAGGATCGTAGTATATCGCCGTGTTCGCCGTCACCTTTTTCAACGTCGTGTGCTCCAGCCGGCAGAGAACGTTCTTTGCCTTTTCAGCATCACGCGCGGCCGCGCCCGTCAAGAACACTGTGAGTGACGGCGCTTTCGGTTTCTTGCTGATGTTAATAATTTCCTTCAATCTGGGCACACCGAGGGTCACGTTCTTCGATGATACACCGGCAAAGTGGAAGGTGTTCAGGGTCATCTGAGTGGCAGGCTCGCCGAGAGATTGCGCCGCCAATGCGCCGACCATCTCACCGGGTGACACCTGAGCTTGCTGGAATCTCGTCTCGATTTCTCCAATTAGCCACTCGAAGGCTTCACTCGACAGCCTGAACTCCTCGGAGACGCACTTGGTACATAAGGTCGACCTTACTAAACACTGGAACAATAATGTCGCGTTCTCGTTCGCCTGTTTGCTCAGTCTATCGTCCCCGGCGACAATGATACACTTTTCCAAAAGATTTTTTACTCCTTGAATCACCCTCATAGGACTGAGATCGGTCGGCGCTCGCTTATTGATGTGGAATATCTTCTGTACGTTCCAAATCATCCTTTGCAGATTGCAGGGCAGTACAACCTTTGATTCGCCGCTTGGAAAGATCTCTCGAAGTACAGCGCGATCTCTGTTCAATTGTTCCCACTCTCTTTCCAGCTCGGATATTCCCTCTCCGGAACCCATCGTGTCTCGGACGATGTGTTCATTGAATATACACCGTAGATATCGCTCGTTGGTCGGATCAAACTTGAACTTCTTCTCGAAGGCTTTGTTGCTCACCTTGATCGTTGGTAGATTCTGGAACTCGACGGTCTCACCGCAGAGACCGTCCTCTCCGTAACGTAGCTGAATCAGCTGACCGACGGAATTACGCACGGTGCCATCGTAATGCACCATGACCGACTCCATAGCCTTTATCAAACGACGCTGAATGTAACCGGTCTCAGCTGTTTTTACAGCGGTATCGATAAGACCCTCACGTCCGCCCATTGCATGGAAATAGAACTCAGATGGAGTAAGACCGGCTAGATACGAATTCTCAACAAAGCCGCGGGACTCTGGCCCATAGTCGTCCTTGATGAAATGCGGCAGCGTTCTCTTACGGAAGCCGAAAGGTATTCGTTTACCCTCGACGTTTTGCTGACCTACACAGGCGATGACTTGAGAAATGTTGATGTTGGAGCCCTTTGAGCCCGACACCACCATGGCCTTTAAATTATTGTATTCTGTCAAGGACTTCTTGGCGGAGCCTCCGGTCTTGTCTCGAGCGTCGTTCAGGATCCTGTTCACCTGATTCTCGAAAGTCTGACGAAGCGTGTTGCCAGGCGTAGGTTCGAGTTCCATGTTGTGTGCCTTTTGGATCACCTCTATCACGTCTTCTTTGGCCTTCTTGATCGCCTTCTGGATTTCCAAATATGT